TTTAAAATACAGTAAATCCTTAAGCTTTGGTGAGTCTGTAGTTAATAAGAAAGTACCTGACATATAACTGTACATAATACATCATCCTCACATATGAGAATCATTTAATGATGGGAGCTACAAAAATCAAAGGCTGGCCATTTGGAAGTCACCTAAAGGCTCCATGCTAAAGCTACAATAAATAATATCTGGTGAATTATAAACATTTAGAAGTCACTGTTTTCAAAATTCAAAACTCTAATAATAGACTGTTTCTTCGGAGCCATAATAAGCACTGCTGGCGAATAATGGATCCTCTAATGGGCTTAATTGCTGCTGGGCTATCGTCATGGCTTCCTCTACTGTGCACAAAGAACAAGCAGAAGGGCTTAGCGTTCTGCCTTAAATGAGGCAGAGGCAGAAGAGGCACCGAGGTTAAGCTCATGTGATCTCGTTTTATTTAATTATCTGTTAACGCTGATAATTAGTTTTCTCATTTGTGATACAGTGGGTCTGGATGAATTGCCTTCAAGGTCCTTTCTATCTCAATTTGATGACTATGGTCTTCATTAAAGAGTCGGGCCCAACCTTCCTTCCTAGGAATCCTATCCAGGCCCACAGCAGCGAAAGTGACATAACCCACTTTCTCCTCTTTCTCTTATCACCGTGATGACAGCCACCAAGTGAGAAGAACGCATCATAGCCACAATATGCACTGAGCAAAGTGAACGCAGACTAATAAGAATGAATGGGTATGACTTACCTTCCAGAAGGTAAAATCNCTCTCTCTCTCTCTCTCTCTCTCTCTCTCTCTCTCTCTCTCTCTCTCTCTCTCTCTCTCTCTCTCTCTCTCCTCTCTCTCTCTCTCTCTCTCTCTGTGTGTGTGTGTGTGTTTATGGGTACATGGAAATATGAGTGCACATTAAGAGAGAGGACCTATGTGTGGAGGCCAGAAGTTTGCATTAGGGGTCTTTCCTAGTCACGTCTCTACCTTAATTTTTGAGGCAGGGTCTCTCGCTGAACCTGGAATTCACCATAAAGGTTCTGAACCAGGTCTTCAGGCCAACACTATTCTCACAAAGCCATCTCCTCAGTCCCTAGAAAGTCCTTTAAACATAATTGTAGGGCATTCTATCCTTGCATAATAAAGGGCAATAATTCCTCTCAGTTATCTCAACACAAACAGGTTGACGTAAGAGTAACTCAAAGGCTTTCTCACATATAATCAATGGTAACATAGGTATAGGTGATGTGTAATAGTAAATAATAGTTTTCTGAAAATCCCTTCATAGGTATAGATGATGTGTAATAGTAAATAGTTTTCTGGAAATCCTTTCATAGGTATAGATGATGTGTAATAGTAAATAGTTTTCTGAAAATCCTTTCCCAGAGGACTGGAAATATAGCTCAGTGGTAGAACTTGCCAAGTAAGCATGAGACCCCGAGTGCCACTGAAAATAGAAAAAGGAGGCAGGAAAAAGGACAGCAGGGAGGGAGGAAGGAAATCCTCATCCAAACGCCGTGCAGGTCTAGAGATCTTTCTCAACTGTCTGTGGTTTGGGGTCTGGCAGGAATAACCTAACCATGGCACTATGGGTCCTCTGTAGACAGCCTTGGCCAGTTCATGTTTAGATTCTACCCAGATCTATATGATCTGCCTGGAATTGAATTTCAAGATCTCCTATATAAGGAAGTCCATTTCTGACGTTCTCAAGTCAGTGGAAAGGGAGCTGAAGAATTTGCCTATTCTAATGTGGTCTTGATCCAAAGGGCTGCACTTGGGTTCTGTTTATCTCTTATGCCAAGTTCATGATCAAAAGGCAATATTTTCATTATGCTTCTTAGATTTTTCTTCAGGGGAATACAATTAAATAGAGATAGGTAGGTTTGTTTGTTTTATGCTCTTTGGGTTTAGAGATAATCTCACTAACTAGCCTGGCCTGGAATGCTTACGTATTCCAAGCTGGCCTTAAAGTTAAGATCCTTCTGTTTTAGCCTCCCAAGTGTTGAGATTGCAGGCACACATGGTAGCAATATTACAGGGAGATTTCCCCATGTCTGCCTCTAACACATAGTATTCTGGCATGTTCTTGCAACATCTACCCAGGAGACTTAATTTGTAGATGTGAATGGCTAGACTGTGTGGCTGCTACTCACTATGTGTGGCAAGCATCTAGAGAAGTCAGAACAAGTGCAGCCACACCAACAGGGTGCTGGAAAAGATGACACAGTAAGTCACTATCAAGCGAAGCTTGGCACCCATGCAGAACCGACAGTTGAATAAGCCTGGCTTATTGCACGGATACACTGACTTTGTACAAAGGAGCATGTGTAAACAATAGATCAGCAATAAATCCCACATTCCTTTTTGTTGTTGTTTTTGTGTTTTGTTTTGTTTTGTTGTTTCCTGGCTGCCCTGGAACTCACTAGGTAGTAGAGCAGGACAGTTGCAAACTTGAGCCTCTGTGGCCTCGGCTTCCTGACTGTTGGGATTATGTGGCCATTCTACTTCTTCTGGGAGGGATGGAATATTTACTAAACACCCACTAGGTGCAGAGCACATGGGCCCTTAAAATACTAGACAGACAAAATATATCTGCCAAACGGGTGAATACCACGGTCAAGGGTACAGCTATACTCTCTTTCAGTATGTTTTAACAGGGATTATAAACACTAAAATTATAAAAATTGACAACAACGTTGTAGAATGTCTGATTTCCGTTGTTTCTCATTTTATTAGTGTATTCATTAGCCCCATATTCATATAGAATATGAAGAGATACAAATAGTTAATGGAGCTGTTATTTAAATGTTTCTAGATTTATTTTATGTGTGTGTGTTTTGCTTATGTGCATCCTATATCACATACATCCTGACCCCCAGGGAGGTCAGAAGAGGACGAGGGATCCCATGGAGCTGGAGCTGCCATGGGTGTTGGGAACTGAACCCAGGTCTTCTGCAAGAACAAGTGTTCTTAACCACTGAACCATCTCTCCAGCCCCCAAATAGAGCTATTATTTAATTGTACTAAAATTGTTTGATTTACCTGGACATTCGTTTACAAAATAACTGATTTACATTTACGTTAAATAATGACATTTTTGTTTAATCAAAATTGTTAGAAATTCACACTGACTTCAACCGTTTTATAACCAACTTGCCCCTGTAACTTGCTGTCATCAGTAAAAGGAGAAAAAGGAAGCCATGTGACCAGAGAGTGATCAGTCTGAACGTGCATGCTAATCACCTCTGAGCTGTGGAGCTACAGATAATTTTTACTGTCTTTCATTCCTTTCTTGTATTTTCTAAAATAAATACTTATTTTCTATAATAAACATGCATGATTTGAATTACAAAAAAGGGCGGAATATTTTCTTAAACATAGTAAAGATTGCCATCATGTAAGATGGGAGAAGGTCAAACAAAAGACAGCGGCAAACGTTCTCCCCTGTAGAGAGAGACACGTTTGCTTTGTGGCTCCAAGTTTAGCTTTTCTTGGTGAACGAGCAGGTGAAGAGATGGCAAACAGAAACAGTTAATAAAGTCCCACCGCATCTAACACGTGGGCAGGGTCTACAAGAGCTCTGTCGGCACACAAACGTGCCTACGTGTCAGGGAAGGAAGGAGCACGGGGCGTCTCTGACAGTCACAGCTGCACTCCACAGAGGGGTTGGAGACAGAAGCTCGGTTCTCTATTCAGGGCCTAAATCTCTGAGGCTAACTTCTGAAGGTGGAGCCAGGAATGCTTTGTTCTAGTTTTAAAGTAACAAAGGACTGTGAAAGTGGAGTAGCTTCCCTTTTAGAAAGAGGGGAAACAGAAATAGACGGTGCGGGTGTGATAATTATTCTTATAGAATTTCCATATCCTGGGCATATTAAGCCGAGGAAGGAAGGGTATTTGGATTTGGACACACTCACTGTTAGGAGACTCACACATGTCCAGCCCAGGCTACGTCTCTTCAGGAGCTTTTGTCTGCATTGAGGGGCATGTTTTCCTACACGCAGAGTTGAAATGAGCTTTCACAAAAGGAAGGTGATCGACTCAGTGCTAGTCCTGTGTGCATTTCCCTGCACACAGAGAGAAAAAGGCATGGCAGGTGATTTACAGGGTACCACAAGCAGCGGCGTCGAGAGAAGCTGGGGTACAACGCCGTGGTCAAATGTCAAAACTGCTACAAGCAATTGTTTGCTTTCGTGGGTACCAGAGGCTTAGATGCCACGTGAAACTTATTGTCACTGGCAGCTTTTCACGATCGAACTGAGGGGGGAAGGGGAAATAATGAGAAAATGACTGTCAAATTCATTTTTACATAGGCAATACTATACAATAATGTAATCGAAGCAAGCACACTCCCAGGCTGGCCTCTGGTTGCCTGGGTAACGGGTATGTCACCTGACCTCAGGGCCTGAGCATTCTCATCTTCAGATCACGTGGTGACTATGAACTGCCACAGACTCATTATGCTAAATTCTAATCTCGCTCTTCTCCTAGTGCCTCCTTAGAACAAAGCTGCGGCCTTTTTTTTTTTTTTTTTTTTTTTTGAACGTCTCCTTTGAAAAACCGAAGCTATCTGAAGAACTGATTCTTTTGCCGAATCAAAAGAATTTGTTAGAATGGGGCATAAAGGGCTACAACTTTCCTCGGCAGAGAATGCGATATTGAGGAGAGATTAAAAAAAAAGTCTCATGTCAGCCCCCAAACTGCAGCTATTTGAAAATGGAACGGCTTGTAAAATAATTAGCCTTTGTGGAAGCAGGGGAAGTATAAGCTTAAAGGGCAGAGAAGAAACCGGCATTAAAGGACGTCAGTATATTTGTCTCTTCCTAATTCAGTTCTAGGTTAAGAGGTAATTTAAATATGCCCCGGAAAATAGGACACACAGAGAACTGTGCGTCTTTACGGCAAAACGATGTGTTCTGCCGTGCCTCCTTCCACAGCCGCTGCAGCATGGACCTGATGCAGTGGGGGAAGTGTGGGCGAACGCAGCCTGCAATGAGATAAAAACCGAAATCACACAAACCCTTAGGTCCTTCGTCCTTCGGGGGGTTGGGGTTCCGAACCGGATCCCGGATGCTACAGTCTGTGCCTGCCCAAGTGAAGTCACAGATGCAGGTGGCTTCGTTACTACACACCTGGGGAGGAAAGAGAAGAGATGTGATACTGTGTTCACTGAAGGGGCAGGGTGCTAAAGGGATCTCTCAACGTCATTTAGAAGGCTTTGGGGCCTGGGTTCATTGCTCAAATTACTGAATTTTTTTTCCTGATAATTATAGAAAAAAAGTAATTATTAAGATGAAGAAAACTTTTTAAACTTGTATTAGTCGTGATGACTTAGATACACAAATAATGTCTAATAAAGGAGTCTTTTTCCCAAAGCAAACATTTCTAGAAACATCCGTGAAAAACATACATGTTTAATTCACTAAGTTAACAGCCCCGGGGTTCAAAAGACACTTCCAAGGGGCTATCCTTGAGATAAAAGGCCGAGAGGCTCAGTCACTAGCACACTGCGTGACCTCACCACGCCTCGCTCATTTGGCGGCACTTTGCTTGCTGGATAAGCATTGCCCCCCTCCATCTGCGGAGCCACTCTTTCCTAGCGGAAGCCTCCATCAAGCCGCAAATGGCATGGACGTCCAATTTACATGAATCAAATAAAACCCTCTGCAAACTAGTAAGAAAGGTGCTTAGACCCTTTTATCATTAGAAATGATCAAATCAAATGCCAAAGCTTTTAAATCTCAGGTACTGTGGTACATGATTATGATTATTAAGACTGAACTTTGCTTTTTAAAAGATGGCAAAAATGAGAGGGGAAAAAAAAGAAAGCAAAAAGGAGCTTTTATGTCTCATTTTTTTTTACAGCAATAACTAAAATGCTTAAAAAGTCTGCCTGGTGATTTTATTTTCCATAGCAATTTTGCTGAACGCTCATTATGTGTCAGGTTCTTATGCTAAGAACTTTATGAAAAACTTCTCATTTCTCCTCACACCAGCACCTAAGGGTCGGGAGAGGGTAAGTACCCACCTACCCAGACCTCTAAGATGCCAAGAAGTAGAGCCAGGATTTAAATCCACAACCCTCCCTAACCCCTGAATCCATGTTCTTAAGTCACCAGATGAGATGGCTGACTTCAGTGTCATGACGGCCATGAGTAGAGTACACCTTTGGGGGCATCTCTGAGTGCGTGTCCAGAAGGATTAGCTGAGCGTGGGCCACTGTGTCACCCCATGGAATGGGGTCCTGGACTGACTAAAAATGGGGGACCTGTGTTCTCCGTTCTTGCTTTCTGACTTGACGAGAGTGCACAATAAGCTTTGGGTGTCTGCCCTTCACATAACGCTGGACCATGGCTTTGGAGCCATGACCCAAGCCGCCCTCTGCTCTCTGAAATCGTTTATGTCAGGAATTCAGTCACATCAGCCAGCTGCTACACGGCCTCCCTGTGAGCGTGCTCAGCCAAGCATCACCACAAGAGGGGCTTCGTGAGCCTGTCCACCTGACTCTGCCTCTGCTCAGCCTCACCTGCCTATCTCTCGACGTTGGGTTTTTCTGACCTTCATTCCAGACTCCCCCCCCCCCTTTTTTTATTATTGCTCTATTTCTTTGCACCCATTTTTCTGATTTCTGAAGTCTATATAAATTTTGAAACGCCTTAATTTCACTAAGTCCAATATAAATCACTGTTATAATTTAAGTACTATTATTATCATTATTAAACTTTGGTTTTTCCAGGAAAGGCAACATTCTCAAACACTTTAAACACAGAATTAAAGCTATGCACAGGTTTCAATATGGACAGTGTCGTTTTCCAGGGGTGGGGGGATGAGGACAGCCCAAGAATAACTGGACATCTTTAGAAGTCTGGAACCATCTGTGACAGGTTCTCCTGTCAGTGTGACCCGAGATGAAAGTCAATCACTAATATGACTTATGTTGTTTTGTGCTATTAAAAAATACGGACACAGAGCCTCCAGTCCCTTAGCAACCACATTGATTTTCTCCCAACATCTAAGATGTCATGATGGCTAATTTCATGTGCTAAGTTAACTGGGCTGTGGGGTGCCCAATTGAGCATCGTTTCTGGATGTGTCCATGAAAGCATTTCCAGACGAGAGCAACATCTGAATGGGTGAACTCTGCGGAGCTGATTGCACTCCCAACAGGTACTGAGCAGAGCTCACAAAGAGGAGCAAACAGAGTTCAACCTCTTTCCTTCCTTCATCTTCTTCAGCCCTAGACCTAGGGTGCGCACCCTCGGCTCATGTCAGCAGACTCAGAATGAATCTTACCATGAATGGACAAGATCTCCATTTGATAAACAGCAACAGTGGGACATCACAGCCTCCATAATCATGTGATAATATTCATAATAAATCTTCTTAGACAGATAGAGGATAGATACATAGATAGGTGAGCAGATAGAAGATTTATGGCATTTTTCTACAGACTATTGACTAACATAGATGTCCAGTTATAGCTGGGGAACATGGTCAAAGCAAATAATCAATAGTGATATGAGAAATAATAAAATAAAATCAAATTAATTTATAAATAATGACTTTAGCAGATAAAGCTACTGAGAAAACGATGACAGTTGGGGAATAGAATTTGTCCACCGCCTCAGTAAGAAATGACTGTCCTGTCACTGTGAGCTGAGGAAGAGTCAAACTGCGACACTGATGTCTACTTACCCCATGGCCTGAACAGACTTTGCCCTTGGAGTCAAGTGGGCAGCTGCTCATATTCAGGGCTTGAATCTGTAGGCACTTCCGGTCTAAGCACATCATGGATGGACCACATGGAGTCCCATCTTCTACGTAGCCCACATCTGTATCGTCATCTAAAACCACATGAGCACCACTGGAAGCAGAGAGAGACCCACATGAACATAGACACCACACCCACAGTCCTGTGCCATTGCCTATAAGGCTCGCCATTCACAAAACAGGGGAGACTGTTACAGCTCACAGCGTTGTTCAAGACTATCTCTGCTTCCCACCTAAGAAGAGCGCCAGAAAGAAGCTACCTTTCATCATCAATAGCAGACATCCCCAGGAACAACTATGATTGGCAGGAAGCCTTCTGACTCTTCCATTGTTTCCAATATTAAGGCTAAATGAAGGCATTTGTGTAAAAAGAGAAGAAGAAATGCCTGGTTCTCCAAGGCGTTGTAGGGAAAGGCAGCATGGGAGGGAAATAATGGCAAGCGGAAACGGCAAAATAAGGTATTTGAAAATTATTATTACCCCCAAAGGATTTAGCTATCACAATTAAAAAGATAAAGCTGGGCAAAGTCTTCTTCTTTTTTTTTAAATATTTATTTATTTATTATGTATACAATATTCTGTCTGTGTGTATGCCTGAAGGCCAGAAGAGGGTGCCAGACCTCATTACAGATGGCTGTGAGCCACCATGTGGTTACTGGGAATTGAACTCAGGACCTTTGGAAGAGCAGGCAATGCTCTTAACCGCTGAGCCATCTCTCCAGCCCCCAAAGTCCTCTTTACTAATGTATACTTCTTACGTTTCAAAGTGAGGGGCAGTTAGAGTTTGAATGATAATTAATGGCATAACTACTACCAGACAGTCTTGCTGAATATTCTACAAATATGGCAGCTTGCAATATAACCATATCATTTAACAAGGTTATTAAAAACATGTGAGAATGTATACGTAGAAAGAGTGCTTGTGTACAGAGACGGTACTAAATATAATACCACAGATTATTCCGTGGAGGAGCTTACTGCCTAAGGCCTCATTAGAATGACCTCAGAGTCAGTTAGCAAGATGGAAAGATAGCAGTTATCTGATCAAGACATTACCCCATTGTGCATAATTACTCTTCGATAATTTCCAATAATCATTCACTCCCAGAAAAAAAAATGGTTTCGGAGTCTCAGGAAAGTGAAAGGGTAGATGCTATGTAGGAGGTGGGGGGGGTATTTTTTCTAACATCAATAAACTATATTTTAATAACTATTTTCTGTATGTGATTTGGTGCTGGTTAGGTCATCATCTAAACCAGACACATGCAACACAAAATACAGAGTAAAAAATAAAACACACAGTGTTCAAAGATTGTTACACTCCAGTGCTCCAAAGATTTATCCAGGGGTAAAATGAGCCCAGGTTGAGTGTTCCTAACCCAAAACTCTCTGAAATGTTCCAAAACCTGAGTACTGGCAGGATGCCATGATTGGAAAAGTCCAGCTAAACACAGCCGCACTTAAAATGCAGGGACAGCGAAGGTACTGGGTAAAAACCACTGCTCAAAATAAGAAATATAAATGGCCAATAATTACAAGAAAGCCCATATGATTCAGGGAAGTGCAGTTCAAACTGCACTAAGATGCCATCTCAATTTACTTAATGCAGCCTCCATAAAAAAAATTACAAACACTGGCTAGAGTAAAGAGAAAAAAGAAATTGATTATAGTAAGAGTGGGCGTACAGCCTTCAACAAAACAGAACGGTGGTTCTTTAAAACACTAGGTAGCTCGACCTTGTGTTTACTGTGGCATTATCACAATCGCCAGGCGGCAGAATCGACCAACCCATCAGCAGAAATGGACATAGGAGATGCGGTGCATACAGAGCAGACTACCACTTAGCCACAGAGAAGAATGGCTGCCGTTTTTAGAATGTATGTTAACTACGTTGCACACTGAAAGGCAGGTGCGACACGCCATCTCCCACATGGATGAACTTGTGAACGTTCTCTGAGCAGTGGAACAGTAAAGAGTAGGGTCAGAGACTATGCAGTGTGGGGTGGACGTAGTGGATCCATCCTGCAGCCCTGTGTGGAGGGATTCAGTAACATACAGGCTTACTATGCTAATAAAACAGATGCAAAACCATAGAAATTTCCTTCAGTCTGTAGTGTAAGGTACAAATGAAACATAAGTAAATTCCATCCTTAGTCCTGGCTTTCATCCTTGGGATGAAACGTTAGATTGTTGATGTTTCCAAATTTTGCTTGTTTGAAACTGTGATCAGGTCGCCCGACATGTTACCTGCAGTCAATGACTCGGCCTTGATGATAGAAGGACGTCGGGATGATCTCTCCTTGAAGCTGACCAATCCTCGGTGCTCGGGTAAGATTGGTGCAGAGTAAAAATCCACAGAACACGTCACTGCACGGGTTTTAGAAGGCAGAAGACAGGAAGAGTCCGGCTCAGAACCCACAGACCTCACTGCATGTACATTAGCCCTCGCATCGTGCGGCTCTGGGAAGCGAGCCCACAGCCTTGCAGATGCCAGGCAGGCAGTTACTGTTGAGCCCGATCATCTCCACTCCTGAAATCTCTCAGCACTCTCTCCACTGCGGAATAAAAGCACTCGGGCCCTCTGACTTAGCTAGGACCCTCCTTGAGCACGGGACAGCTTCACTCATGAAGCGCGCACCCTTGAAAAGAAAGGGCCGAGGATGTTCTCAGCCAGAAGCAGCACTCCTGTTCCTACATCCGCTGTCCTACACACCCCTCCTCTCCACTCTAAACTGACAACAGCACAGCCAGATCGCAGGGCTGGAAGGATGGCACTTGCAGACAACAGAAGACAGGAGATCAACCTGTGGACGTGTGGTTTCCTACATCTTGCAACCATGGGTTCACCAGGGCAAGAATTTAAAAGCCAACATAGTAAAGATGGCACAGCGGAAGGGAAGACATCCTCCAGATCTTTGGTGGCGTTATTAAGTGACTCACCTGCTGCTGTGAGGACACTTCCGCCTCCGGCCTACGCTGCTCATAAACAATGACTCATACAGGATGACGGCACGCAGTGAAGTGCCACATCACCAGAAAGGAAACCTGCGTGGAAATGAGCTAAATTCCACTCATAACACGAGAAAGGCAAACTAAAGTCGTGCCGAGATAGCTGTCCACAGACACAAGAACTGATACAGTTAAAAAAAAAAAAATCTGGTAAGATGAAGGATTGGCGAAAGCAGCATGTATTCTGGAAGGGTTTCCCAGAGCACAAACGTTTTTAGGAAACAACTGATATCATCTGCTGACAATGAAAACATGCATCCGTGACCTAGCAACCGTCTCGCTAGGTACATGCCCTAGAGAGACGGGCGTGATTTACACGGGGCTACATGGACAAGAATGTCCACAGCAGTACAGTTTATGTTTTCCTCTTCTTTCCACATTTATCTATTTTAAAAATACGGGCGCGGTGAAGGCAATGTATTATTAATCTTCTGTCAGTTGCATACAGGTACACTGCACACCTTGCATCCACAGCTCCCCTATTTCCTGTCCACTTTGCGCTTGCCTCAGCCTGGGAGTGCGGTTGCTATGCTCCAGCGGTTGCTATGCCCCAGGGTGCTCACTCACTGTTTGCTGCATTGGATCCACCGGTCTCCGTCTTTGCCACAGTTGCCCTTCTCAGTGCCTTCCGTGTTCAGCTTCTCATAGCAGAACTTGTCTGACCCTGCAGCCTCTGTCAGAGATGGGTGAGAGATGAAAACACATTTTCCTTCTCTGGGCTCCTCACACTCAGTGGGCTGCCACAAAGTGTCCATCAACTAACCGCCTCTCGGAAACAGGGAGAGAAGGGACTCTTGATTGCCAGCTCCCACGGTGAAAACATTCAAGGGCTAACTTCAAGCCGTGGATGTGCCGTTCCCCGGCTTATCAAAACCTCCAAAATTCAGCTGCTTTTGTGGGCTAGTGCAAAACCACTCCAGCACGGCACTGTGGCTAGTGCAAAACTGCTCCAGCACGGCACTGTCTGGGGTATGAGAACTCTCTGGCCAGATCTCGCTGGCAGGTTTAAAGGTGACCAGTGAGGAAAATCACTAGCAGCAACAAGAACACCACCACACACAGTCAACGAATATGTATTCTTAATCCTGTTTTATTTTAGCATATGTGTGTGGGGGGGCTGCCTATGGGTGTCATGCTTAAATGAGCAGTTGTATACCATGTGCATACAGTGTCAGATGAGGCCAGAAGAGGGCATCAGATCCCCTGGAAATGGAGTTAGTGACAGCCGTTAGAAACCGTGTTAGTGCTGGGACATGTGGAAGAGCAACCAGTGCTCTTAACCACCGAGTCATTTCTCCAACCTTCTTAATCTTATTTTATGTTAATATTCGGAGACGCATTTAAAAGTCTCAGCCACTGAGGTTGTTAGGCTAACAGTCTCACTCTCTAACCAAGCTGGCCCTTAGCTATTAGTCGCTGTCCTGACTCAACATCCCAAATGCTAAGATTGCAGTGTGAGCCATTGTGCCTGGTTCTGCTGATTGATTTTTATATCAACTCTTGAATTTTGATATTTAAATTTTAGGAAGACGTTATGTCCTTATTATCTACGTGAAGCACTGAGTATAAATCTTACATGTGAATGACACCTGCCAAACACTGAAATCACTCATATGACCTCTTTTGTGCACTTTCTTCCAGATGGAAGATCCAGCCTCAGCCAGCTAGGGAGTCTCAGTTCTAGTCCTTCCAGTCCTGATCAGTTTTTTATCAACTTGACGCAAACTAGAGGCACCTCAAAAGAGGAGAGTTCAACTGAAAAACTGCCCCCATCAGAGTGGCCTGTAAGCAAGTGGAGGGGCATTTTCTTGCTCAGTGCTTGATGTGGGAGGGCCCAGACCACTCCTGGGCAGGTGCTTTGGGTTGTATAAGGAAGCAGGCTGAGCCAGTCTTAAGGAGCAAGCTGGTAAGCAGCGCTCCTCTATGGTCTCTGCTTCAGTTTTTTCCTCCAGCTTCCTGCCTTGAGTCCCGGATCAAACTTCACTCAGTATGACTAGGACACACAAGCCAAATAAATCTTTTCCTCTCCAACATGCTTCTTCTCAGTGTTTTTTATCAGAAAGCAAAGTAAGGCAATTCTTATGCGGCTCTCCTGAACTGAACAGTTCTGAGTCACTGCCAATGTCAGCAAGAGACATATGCATTAACATTCAGGTAACATGTCAGAGATTTGTCACCATGGTCCTGTCTGCTCCCAGGGAAATTCCTGCATGTCATCACTTTAACTGGGACAGTGAATGACAACAAAACAGCAACAAGAAACAAAACCAAGTCTGCTCCTCTCCCCAGGCAAACCAGCAAGGCACACAGTGAGTCATGCTATTACGTGAGTGATCAGATAAGGACTGTGACCGTGGCACACAGCCTTGTGGCCACAGGTAGCTGTAACATCCCATAACAGCCAAGGCCAACAAAAGACACTTTGGTTTGCATGGCAAGATCTCACTTGGGTATCTGTTTGCCACAGTTTTTGCTGTCTCATCATCATTCTTTGAGGTTGACTGGGAACTGAACCGAAAGCCTCTCATGAATTCTTCCACAGCACTCCGTGCTGGGTATCTCTGTCCCAGGCTGGAAGACAGAGCTGTGAAGAGGACACTGTACGGCCATCAGGCAGGAGGATGCAACCTACTTGTTCCCCAGATGTACTGACACTGGTTGTCCCTTGTCTTGCACTCCCCATTGTAGCAGCGACCCTGAGAGAAAAAGCAGGTATGTTGTGAGTCACAGGTCACAGGGCCATTTCCCCCAAAACTCTGAGTACAAGGTCCCTGTCTGGGGAGTCACACAAAGTTCTCTTCATTCCATCCCCAAGTATTTTCACAGTGGCCAATAAGAAACACAAACATTTTAAAGAAGGGTAAGATACACTATATTAAAATTTAAGAGCTCAGGGTACATTTACTAGAACAGCTCTTTAAATGTAAAATAATTATTGTAACTTCAATTTTTATGGGGAACAAAAACTTGTACCATTCTACAAATGATACCAAAATGACTTTTAGCCTCTCTTCTATGTGAATGGTTAGGGCTATAGTACTGACTTGAGAAAAGTCTCATAGAAGATTGTCATCTTTTTGCTAAATAGGCTGAAATTATTTAAGGATGGTCACAACCCAGCAAATTGGAGCCCCAGTTTCTGCAGCCATGACATTTCTTTCTCTTTTCCTTCAAGCTGGACAATTTGCCACTGATCAAACATATGTGATATTTAGACAAAATAAAGCTAATATAAAGCAGCACCCCACTTCTCTCTAAAGTTACTTATCACAAAGGGGAAAGAAATAACACTAATCCTTTTGAAATTACACTGAAATCTTACTTAGAGCCTAGCATACCTGATTTTGATTGCAGGCATAGCCATCTTGTTTATGGAGATTTGGTGGGCACTGAAAAAATATTATCATTTTAGCTGGTGTACAGCATATAAAATACTTTCAGAAAAACGTGTTTAATATAATAATGAGAGGAAAAGTAAATATACAATTAGGAACATTTAGAAAAGCACATAAAACTCCATTAATGGGTTATTTAATTTAATTATATCATTACTAAAATGAATAAAGTCCATGCAGTTAATCATTTTTACGGTTCTCTATTTACCAGGAGATGGGCAGATAATAAATAACGTTCACTTGTCAAGGAGTTACAAGCAGAAGGGGCTAAAATGGGCGGCGAAGGGAATGAATCGGCTTGCTGCACAGGAGTGGCCACATTAAGAACTAATTTGTAGGACCTTTTGCAGCTTCTTGTAAATGTCAAATCCGCATGTGAAATGGGGCGTGTGCCTATGGGACACTTTACAGAAACAGGAGGGACAGGCTCGAACCACGGTGCATCAACATAAGTGCTGCACCGCTGCGGCAGCTCTGACCTCTCACACCGGACGTGGACTAGAATGATCTATGGGGAAGTCGGGGTATTTTGGTTGTGTTTTAGCCAAATTATCTATCACACCATTTTCAAGTGCACTTCATTTTCCCCAAAAGGTATCCAGGATAAGTGACGTCACACTTTTACGGAAAGGCAGGTGAAACCATGTTGAAAGAGTTTGGACAAGGACTTCAAAACATAGTGAGACACACCGAGGTCCTCTTGGTCCCCACTTTCTCAGAAAAGGGCTTTTTAACCTAACAGTGTCTCCGGCCTCAATCCAGAGCCTCCATCCTTCTCCATCTGCATCCCCCTACTTGTCTTTTTGTCTCTCACACCATCCTCAGATTCGCTTCAAAACATCAGCTCTTTTCCTCAACTTCTACCATTTAATCCCAGGTTAGGCTGCCACGATTAGAACCTGGACTGTAATCTCCAACAGATGCCTCCCTGCCTGCACCTGCTTCCCTGTACTGCTCCCAGAGAGATCCCTTAAAACATAGGCACTAAACCATGTTGGTAGCCTGCTCAAAAGTTTTCAATAGCTCCCAAGTTCCACGTGATCTGCTCCTTCCATCCACAGCCCATTATTTCCCTGACCCCCTTCCCAACTATCTCAACAGTTGATGTGACTCTGTGTGCTAAGCCAGGCATGCTGCCAGCCCACTGCCTGATCACTGCAGGGCTCACTCCATCTCTTCCTTAGGGGTTTGGCTCAAATATCCCCCTCCCCAAAAGCCTCCTCTAACCACGGTCTTTAAAGTGGCAGCGACCTCCCAGGCTGGCATTCTCTGTTCCCCATTGCCTACATTTTCCTTCTCCACCACACCTGCCACCAACTGACCAACCATGCATTTCCCCTGTTTGCTCTATTTTGTTCCTGTAGCTACATGAGCTTCATGCAGGCAGGATTTTCTGTTTGGTTTCCTGCTGCACAAAGCAACATCAGGATGTGGTGGGTGCTCAATTACTACTAGCTGACCAAGAAAAGGAATGGATCCCCCATAGTGGTAAAATGGAGTTCTTTAATGTAGCACACGTGGGGCTGTGCACTGAGTTTGCCACAGAAAGATGAAGGACTCATGCAGCGTTCCCGGGGAGCAATGACACACTATAGGACATGTTGCAATGAAATGGCAATTTGATATCTTCCTAAAGGCTGGAGCCCCTTACGGTTTCGTTCACCACAGCTTTTCCCTCGGCCTGGTGCTGAGTATCTCAGGGAGGCAATGACTGACACTAGAACAAACTTTATAAAAGCAGAGATTTCTGTGGCCTCTTCTATCTCTCTGAATTCTCTCAGATACAATCATCATCTCATTAATCAGCTTTCATAAATTATTCACTTACCCTCAAACCAGTACAACCACTGTAAATAGAAATGGGGGGGGAGGCATTTCTAGAATAGGCATGTCACTCTTATGATGTCTTGAAAGGAAAAGAAAGGAAAGGGAA